CTCCTCTAGAGACTTCTTCAGTCTGATGAGTTTCAGGTGAACTCAGCCTTATAAGCCCTGCCTCCACATGGTGGACAAACAGGTTAGTCACATGCAAAATAGGGCCATCAACTAACAATAGGCTTGATTAGCTCTATTGTTCATAGAGGGTCATGTGCCCCATCACGACCCATGTCGTGTTATGAGCATGTAGTGAATGCAAGCGGGGCTCGACGTCCCCTTGTTTTTGAACAATAGAGCTAATCAAGCCTATTCTTAGGCAATGGCCCTATTTTGCATATGACTAACCTGTTTGTCCACCATGTGGAGGCAGGGCTTATAAGGCTGAGTTCACCTGAAACTCATCAGACTGAAGAAGTCTCTAGAGGAGAGACTAAACRTTTCACTAAAGAAGAACCCATCCAGAGGACCTACTTATTTTTTCTTTTTCATTTTGTTTACCTGGATTACTGAGATGCATCAGGACATCCATAAAATAAAGTGCAGTGCAAAGTCAGAGGAGTAACGTTTTATTAAAAGTCTGCCATAATTTGCACAGGGATTGAAAGCAGTAGACAGTAGCATCAAAAAGGAGAGTGATCTCCCTGCTGCTGACCCAAACACTCCCATTCCCCTAAAATATGAGGACGGAGGTGCTAGTGGAACATCTGAGAAAGGCATCGCTCTACTCCTAGAAAGAGGTCCGTCTACCGTTTTTATTTCATAGACAACGCAAGAAGCCATTTAATGCAAAATACGACAAAAGCTGGGCAGACGTCGTGACTAAATGACGACAGAATTTTTCTCTCCACTCAGCTGGGTTTGTGCAGGYGGACCAAAAGCACCCGACGCGCTCYGGGATGATCCCCGGCTCCTGGCAGCACCGGATGAAGCTGCAGCTTTTTCTTAAAGCCTCTAAGGCGTACTACGTGCTGTCGGACGCAGCCTCTAACCTGCTGAAGTACGGCCGAGCTTTGCGCTACATCAAGTTGTCTCTGCAGTGTTACGGTGAGTGAATTGAACCGTTTAGTTGGGATCGTTTTCATCACAGTAAWATTGCAGTTGCATCAGTCCGAGTTAAACATCTAGTATTTACTGACGACGGGGAGAACAAAACAGCAGATTTTTTCTGTCACTTTCTCCATCCACTCGTCTTGATTTGAGTTTGTTGTTTTCCTCCAGATGCCTATTGTTCTATAAGTGGATCACTTCATCCACAAGTACTGCAGTTTCACAGCCAGTGCCTGTCCCTGTGTGGAGACATTCAGCTGATGTTGGCCCAAAACGTTACCAACAGAGCAGCTTATCTAGAGGAGTACAGCTACCAGACCAAAGAGGACCAGGAGATCCTGCACAGCCTGCACAGGGAGAGCAGCTGCCAGGGTCAGTCAAGGATTTGTTAAATGAAAGGCCTCTTTGTTTCGACTTTAGTGTTTTAATTCACTTATATTTGCATTTATTTTTACTTTCTTGTTAGCCTTCAGCGTGGCAACAGACCTGGCCATGGACCCTGAGTACCAGCTGTTTGTTAGCTGTAAATGCTACGAGGCGGCGCACGAACTCCTTATCTCCGAGGCTTTGAAAGATCAGGTCTCAGATCAGCTGTCCCAGATTCTTAAAAGGCTGGGAAACATCCRCAACGAGATGGGAGTCTATTACATGAACCAGGCTGCAGCTATGCAAACGGAGAAAGAGGGTGTGTTATCAGACCTTGTGCATTGTTTTTAATTTGACAACTGGGTTTTTGTTCATAGAAATGTTACCAGTTTTTATTTTTATTTTTTTTATTTGCTTCTGTTCTAGTGAAAAGGTCGGTGTCTTCAGCAGAGCAGGAGCTGTGGAAGAAGAGTTTCGGCTTCTTTGAGAAAGGAATGAAGGACTTTGAAGCCATTTCGGACAGCACCAATACGGCCTTACTGCTGTGCAATACAGGCAGGCTGATGAGAATCTGTGCTCAGGCCTACTGCACAGTGTCTGCTGCTGAGAGCAGAGGAGAATTCTCACCTGATGAGGCTCTTTATTACAACAAGGTTCAGTGAAGACTGCTCTGTTTTAAACGTTGACGCGTTTTTATGTAAATACTATTAATCATACGGTTTTCGGCTTGTATCTCATTCCACAGTTTTTGTTCTATTTCAACAATTTCTGTATCAAAAAGTTCTGCTCCTTCAGGATATTCTAGCTATGACTTTTGGTACTTCAGCGATTTATAGTTTTTGGAATATTTTAGCTTTCTCTGCCATGTTTTTTATTCAAAATGGGTGGAACTGTTTTCATCATCCATAAATCCCTTCAAAATGTCCATAAACTTTTACTATACCTTTGTTACCTTTTAGTTCTTTCTTTTTAACTACTTTGTACTAATTTTAGTTTCCTGTGGCTTCCGTTTTGCTGATTTTTAGCTGTCATTCTGACCTTTTCTGCTATTCTAATTGCAACTTTTTGCGCTTTTTTCAGCCTTTAAGCTTTTTCAGCTGCTTTCAGTTGCTTTCTGCTAATTTCAACTTTTTTCTGTTTTTAGCTAATTTGAGCTTTTTTCAGCTAAATTCGCCTTTTTGTGTTAATGTCAGCTTCTTACTGTTCTGTTTCTTTGCGCTAATTTAGCTATTTCATTTACTGTTTTTTTTTTTTTTGCTATTTTAGGATAATCTCAGCTTTTTTGCTATTTAGTAAAAATCTTTAAGCATTCACACTGCGTTTTTACAGGAAATTCACATTCTCTTTTTTTATTGCACTCAGGTTGTTTCCACTAATTCTATGCATCTATTTTTTTCTATCCCAGGCCATAGACTATTACTTGCGAGCGATGAAGTCCCTGGGTAGCAGAGACAGCCACTCAGCAGTGTGGGACAGTGTAAACTGGGAACTGTCCACCACCTATTTCACCCTGGCGACACTGCTGCAGGACTACGCCCCTCTATCCAGGAAAGCACAGGAGCAGGTGAACCTGAAGCCTTCCTCTATCATAAATATGCACGTTTCATTATTTCCCATTTCTTTGTCTGAGTAACGTTTAGATTTTTTGTGCTTCTGCAGATTGAGCGGGAGGTGACGGAGGCTATGACAAAGTCCCTGAAATACTGCGACCTGCAGACTGAGTCAGCTCGTCAGCCGCTCTACCAGTACCGAGCTGCCACCATCCACCACCGCTTGGCCTCCATGTACCACAGCTGCTTTCGAAACCAGGTGAGACACAGATTGATTTGTTCATTTAAAATATTCTTCCATGTTAATGTCTTCTAGCTAAGTCTTGCTTCAGTTTTACTGTTCTGTGCCACAAGCGAAAGATCTTCATCTCTAGGAAAAAGTATAAAATAAGATGTGAGGATTTCATACGTGAAGCTTTTCACAGATGTCTGAGTTTGTTCCTGTAACTGTTTTGACAGGTGGGAGATGAACAGTTGAGGAAGCAACACCGCAGCCTGGCAGAGCTTCACTACAGCAAAGCTGTCTCTTTATTCCTCAGCCTCAAAGATGCACCCTGTGAGCTGCTGCGCACGTTACTGGAGAGGGTTGCTTTTGCTGAGTTTACTATGGCAGGTGAGCCTTTCTTTATCAGGAGTAAAATGTTTGGCAGAATGTTTTCTTTTAAGAAAGAGATTTTAAATTTGAGAACAGTAAGATTCCTTTTGATAATGTGTGTATTGTGATTTTAAAGGCCAAAGCAGCAGCATGACGAAGCTGAAGAGTTTAATTGGAGCTCTGGAGATCATGGCAGAAACTCGTCATGCCTTTCAGTTGATCCGTCAAGAGCTGCTAGACGAGCAGGCAGAAGTAAGCTTTAGAGCTGTGAATGCAAAGCTCTGTTCAGATTTCTTGAGCAGTTATCAACAATTTATTCTTCTTTTACTTTTGTAGTCAAGTGAGGCACCTGCTGCTGAATCAGCAGACTGTCCTGGCGTGGCCAGCGGCTCCACATCTGGACTGGATCTCCACGAGGTAATGAAGTTAATTGGTGTTTTCGAGCCAAGTTTCTCCTTCCTGCTGCTGCAAGCCATTAAACTGATGACAACAATAAAACGGAAACCAAGGTGAGCAAGTCTAAAACCTCTGCAGCTCTGTTTTATTTCTATTTTTTCCCCCACACTCCTGATCAGCTTGTTCGTGGTTTTTTTTTTACAGCAATAAGGATGAGGAAACAATGAAAAACTACAAGAATGTTTACTCAAAGCTGCTGCGTGCGGAGAAAAACGCACCGCTCCTCAGCCGCGTGGAGCTCTACATCGAGCTGCTGCAACAGCTGACCCCGCAAACAGGAAGTGATGTCACAGGAACAAGTAAAATGTAAAAAAAAAAACAAGTTTCTGCCTTTACTTGCTTATTAGAACTTTGACTCTGCTTTCTTATAGACTTCTTTTAAAAATTATCAGAAAACATTTTAATAACAGATATTAACAAGCACAAACTCAGGAGACAGTTACTATTTTTTTTTTTGAAAATCACCTCCTGCGCCTTTTAAAATACGTTAAAACATCTTCATCACACGTTTTGACTTGTATATTTTTGTGTAGATATGTACATTCAGAATAATATTTTTAGTTTTCCTTATTAAAACAGATTTTTGGTCACATGTGAAGTTTCTGTGGAAACAATTCTATTTTGACTGAACCAAACCAAAAGCTCTGGGATTGTCTCATTTAGTTTAAAAAGATGTAAAGCCATCTCTAAATTTTCTACATAGTGCATCAGTAGAGAACGATTTAGATTAGGTTCAACATGTTTGAGTGTTTTCAACATTATTCTGGTAATAAAACAGAAAAGAGAAACTATTTGCTTTAAAAACTGCAATATTTAAGCAACTTCCAATGCAAATTCACGCTGCTGATCTTTCAAATGATGCGTGTATAAATGTGAATTAATGTTTTTGCATGTTTGGCTTTGAGAATAAAAAGTTTGAAGGATATTTCACATCAATTCTGTGGGTGGTTTATCTTAATAAAACATCGTACTTTGCTTTATGATTGCCCCTGTCTAGACACGAGATAAAGCAAAGTATTTTCACGTGAATAACGAGCACATTTAACACAATTCCGGGTAAGATTTTTTTTAACTGGCAGCGCTTCGCCTCGGCAAATTAGCAGTTGTCCTTGTGTATGGGTTCAGCCGGTGTGGCTGAGAAGAGGGCACGMTGTGTTCGCTGTGGCGTTGGTGAACTGGTTGACCCCGCTGTTATTGGAGTGGATCCACAGCAGATGGAGCTGCCTGCGTGTCCAAAAYGTCCGTGCACCTCATTAATCAAAAGTTGACCCTCTGCGGGGCAGGTATGTCGGGACACCCAGCTGAAGGTAAAATCCAGTAAAAACAATGGGAAAGCGGAGCTAAATGGTAGAGATTGAGAAGATTCAACAGGATGTGTAACTTAAACTTTTAAGCCCGACTTAGAGAGGAAAAAAAGTTATTTTTTAAATAGTGAACTCTACCTAAGTAAATGCTGAACATCATTAAGAAAATCCTTGAAAAATCAGAAAATTCAGCTGTCCAAAATAGCACAGAACGTCCTTCAATTTCTTTGAGCATCAGGTCTGTCAGTCACTGTATTACACAGCGATCAGAAGTCTGGTTCTCCCGGGGTTCCTCTGGTGAAGAACGCTTGTCCTCTCTGTACCGATTAGCTTCGTGGTTCAAAATGTTTTGGAGGATGTCTTTGCTCTCGCTGGTTGGTAAATTGTAGAAAAAGTACTGTGGTGCCATTCGAATGAACCTACAAGTGAGGAAAACAGTTTATTAAGTAACATAAATAGTTTGTTGAAATATTAGTGATGTCCACTTTTTTATGTTGATGAAAAACAACTCTTAAAATCACCATAACAGGTAACAGCTTTCACTTTCTGCTTTAGGCTGCAGGTCTGTATTCAATAATCCCCTCTCCAACAAGCAGATACTAGAGAACAGGATTGTAATCCCTCAGCATGACCAGCCTCTGCTGAACTGCTTTACATACAGTTCAAAAGGTTTAGTGGAACGTGTCTGTGTGATTACGGTTGAGCCTCTCCGAAAGCTGAGCTACGAGGGTTTTCTAAAGCTCGTTTAATAAACCCGCTCTAAAGCCAGTTAGGAAGAAGAAAAACGAAAGGCGTACTCCTCTGATGTGATGGGAGTCACGGTGCGGAGGCAGTTGTCCACCGAGAAGGTGTGCTCGTGGAACAGAATCCACTCCGGCAGGCTGGGCTTTGGGCTCTTGGCTCTGTAGGTGGAGAGAGGGTGGATCTGTGCCACGTGCTTATGGGTCAGGATAAAGTAGTTCCCTGATCCATCCACATCCCGCGCCACCTGAGGACCAGAACCAGTCACTATGAGAAAACGTTATTTCATACACACAGAAGCGCACAAACAAAAAGTGGTGTTCTATGTGGAGTGCTACATGAAAACGGTTAATGCTGTTGGCGAGCAGTCAAAGCCATTTATGGTCCCTTAAAGTCGGACATTTAAAAGTTGTTCAAAGGTCAGTTAAAAAGATAAATGTTGGCTCTAACTCACTGTGCAGGTACAAAGTCCCAGCTAATTAATATATTTTAATAAAACACCAATCCAACATAATGTGTGATTATCTGACTATAAATAAAGTGTAAATTTCCAAGTCTATGCATCTTTTGGAAACCTGTTGTAGGTTCTCAGGAAATAAAGCATTCACAGCTGACCTGCATAAAGAAACCTGCGAGTAGGGCTCTCCTAATGTTCATGGTGTTGACCCGGGAGCCGAAGGCGGGCGCCGAGACAGGCAGCTCGATCCTCTTCAGAGTATCTGTGAGCTCAGTCCGAAGAGCGTCGGCCATCATTAGAGCTTTGTAGTTTAGGAATAAATCCTGACACCATTTCTCCTCATTACAGTCTGAAAGAGGAGGGGGGACAGGTCCGAAATGTAAAACCAGAATCAGAGATAAACTCTTCATGATGTGATGATATTATACATTATATTAGCATAAACTGCAATGATTTTATTCAGTGTATCATGGAAAACCTTTAATTGCTGTTATGGTTTCAGTTTATCAGAGATAGGCAACATAGCGCTGCACACTGTATTATATATACTGCCCAAATGGAATAAAATTGCCATTTAAAAAAGTTTTAGTATATTTTATTTATTTATTTATTTATTTATTTATTTATTTATTTATTAACCCCTTAACATTCAGGCCTAAAATACCATTAAAAAAAACAAATGTGTCAAATGGAACGTGGGCGTTCCGGTGCTGTAACCTAATATATTTCATTCTCAAATGCATGTGTAACAGCTGTTCTGTTTAAAAACGCACTCTAAAATGCACTTTCTAAGAATACCTTTTGTAAGTAAAAAAAAATTAAAACAAACTCATCTCAGTGGCAGGCCAGACAGAAGTCAAACGCAGGGCAGATTTGGCCCCCAGGCCGCCAGTTGCCCATCCTTGTACAGAACAATATGTTTCTAAACTCACATGGATCCTGCTGGCACTGTTTGAAGGACTTGTAGATGTTGATGAGGGTAAAGTGGTCCCCCTCTGGGTGCTGGAACTTCATGTAGCACTGGGTGGCGTCTGGTTTCAGTTCCACGGGGGGAACCGTGAAGCAAGAAGGAGCTAAAGTAACATCCACAAAATACACGAGAAGCTCAGATCACATTCCTCACTCCATAACCGACAGCATCAGGTTGACATGTACGCAGATTTTCTGCCACATTACCTGTTAGCATGGCAGCTATGATGACCACCTCGCTGACACAGTCGAACTCACAGGAGGCCAGCACGGTCTTGGCCATCTGGGGCTCTAAGGGGAATTCTGACATAATGATGCCCATCTCAGACAGGTTCCCATCATTATCCAGAGCTGCGAGGTAATCCAGTTCTTCCAAAGCCTGCATCAGACCTCCAGGATCTGAGTAGGAAATTTTGGAGGGAGGTTATAAAATAAATTGTGTTAAAAAAATAAAAAAAGGAAAGAGAGAAAATGGACTAGGAATTCAACTATTGAGGTAAGCCCTCAGCTTTGTAGCAGTGATTAAARTATTTAATCTGGGAGATTATTAATTCTGCACAAATACGCTGTCYATACTGGTAAAATCCCTGAAAATGTTCTGACATTTGGGTGGAAATGCTTGAAATAAACAGTAGGAGATTAGGAATTTGTAATCTTCACCAACATCTGTCTAATACTAAGCAAAAAGAAAATAAGTCATTTTACGTTTATATACTGTGTATATAT